AGATCAAGGCATTGAGGGCATCGGAGGAAGAGGCCAGAGCTCGGGCAGAAGAGGAGCGCGATAAAGTTAGAGAGGTCATCCAGAAAATACAAGAGGCCAACAAAAGGGCGAGGCAGGCCATAAAAAGGGCCTAAGAGGCTGAGGCCAATATTGATAGAGCGATGGAGGCCTGGAAGGAGTCCCCCGAATTTGACATCGTGGCCCAGGATGTCTACGTGGTAACCCTGGAGGAGTTGGTGGGGCACATCAGGAAGGAGAAGCCTGATCTCGATGTGGCCTTTCTGGATGAGGCACTGAAGGGGCAGAAGGAGGAGTTGCGGAGGTTGTCGGAGTCTGCTGGAGTCCGGGTAATACCGGTAGCTCAGGATGTTAAAGATACTACCCCAGTCCCCAAGACCCTTAGGCGATAAAAAACATTGTTTTTTGGTATTTTAATTGGTCAATTTGTGTTTGACTTGCAATTGAACTTTATTTTCACTGTTTATGACATTTTTTTTGAATGGATAATTGTTTATGTTCGGTACAACTTTTCCTCACAGACATAGCAAAAATTGTAAAAGCGCTATAATAGTGTGTAGAATTACTTTGAATTAATTTCGCTTAGTTGTACAGTACTCGCTTTCCGAACCAGGCATATACATTGGGCATTTTTACTAAGTGTAGTACCATGTATGGCCTTAGCTCGTCCAACCGTGAAATGCCCGACTTTATAGATTCCTTAGGAAGGGAGACTCCTCAGGAGGAATCTTCCACTAAGTGTTGCAGCACATACAACCTTAGATCGGCCTGCATATGGAGCAAGGCTTAATGAGATTCCTTAGGAGGAATCTTCCACTAAGTGTCGCAGCACATACGACCTTAGATTGACCTGCATATGAAGCAGGGCTTAATGAGATTCCTTAGGAGGAATCTTCCACTAAGTGTCGCAGCACATACGATCTTAGATCGGCCTGCATATGGAGCAGGGCTTAATGAGATTCAGACAGATTGCTGAGTAAAGTGTTCAAAAGAAATGGAAAGTCCTTTTTTTAGAGATGGCAATTTGAACAGTCAAAACCGAAAACCGCGGTTAACCGAACCGAATGGGGCGAAAAAAATCGAACCGATGGTGCAATGGGGCGGATATGGTTTTGATTTTAATGAACCGGTTCGTAATGGTGCGGGTATGGTATTTACGTCGTCGAACCGAAACCGAACCGATTACCCGCTAAAAAAAATTGAATTGATAATGGACTTTACACTACTTTTCTATCAAAATCAAAACAAAATCCCTCCCCTCCTCATTACATCTACCTGACTCATTCGGCCAGTCTACTTAGCATTAGCCCATAATAGCATTAGTATGACAGTATATAAATGTAAACCCTACTATCCACAACCACAAACTCACGCACGGCCCCATTGCCTCTACGGTCCAAATCGTCGTCGCCTCCGAAAATTTGTTACATTTGTTAGTCATTCTATTACTACCAATCATGTAAAAACAAAATTCGATGTTTTTCTAGACGTGCCAATATTGCCAAGGATGAATAGGAATCAACTTTGAATGCTGATCCATACTAGTAAGACTTGTAGGGATGAATGCATCATGTAACTTCAATGCACAACAATTAAGAATGAAGGAAAAGTTTAGTATTATTATATTTATAATATTGTTTGTTAAATTTGTATTTTACAATTGAAAATTAGGATAATGTTTACATTTACGTTTGGAATATTGTTTGATAATGTTTGCATTTTCGTTTAGAATATTGTGTTTTTGTTTTCATTGACTTTTTTCATAAATTGTTTTATATCAATTTGACGGATGAACCTATAAAAAATAATTTATTTTCGTGGTTATTAACCGAACCGAACCGTGCCGAACCGAGATAAAAACCAAACCGAACCGAACCGATTTACGTGGTTATGGTGCGGTTATGGTATGGTCAAAAATTTGATGGTGCGGTTATGGTTTTGGCCGAACCGACCCATAACCGAACCGTTGCCAACCCTACCTTTTTTATTGATGTGATTGACGTTACAAGGGGACTTTTTTCATTTACTGGTAGTACTGTTTAAGGTGTTCAGCATTCCAAGGATGGGGTAAGGATCTACCCCCCAAGTCTTCCAGTTCATATGCTCCTTATAGCAAGACCTTCGTTACCAGATAGGGACGTTCCCAATTTGGACCTAGGCATCCACTACCAATCTCTCTTGTGGGAAATAATACTTTTCGTAAGACGAGGGATCCTACCTCAAATTCTCTTTTTTCGTACTTTTTGATTATAGTAGGCGTTTCGCTGTTTGTAAACCGCATTTTTGAGTTCGACGTTATTCCTTTTTTCCTCGGTTAGGTCGAGTTCCGTGCAAAGAGCTATGTGGTTTTGTTCTTCATCGTAATCAGTTATGCGCAACGAATAAATGTTGATTTCTAGTGGGATCACAGCCTCTATGTCGAACGCCAGTGAGAACGGAGTTTTTCCTATGCTTGTCCTTGCAGTAGTACGATAAGACCATAACACACTGGGGAGTTCATCAGCCCATACTCCTTTAAACAAGTTGAGTTTTGCTTTCAATATGTGCTTAATAATCTTGTTAATGGCTTCGACTTGGCCGTTCTCCTGTGGATGGTTTGGTGATGAGAAATGTTTCTTGATGCTGAGCTCTTCGTAGAAATTCAAAAGTCGTGTGTTGTCGAACGGTTTTCCATTATCCGTAACAATGGAGTGAGGTATGCCGAACCTGCAGATTACTGATTTCCACAAAAAGTTGGTGGTTTTTTGTTCGGTGATGGTGGCAAGGGGCTCTACCTCGGCCCATTTAGTGAAGTAATCCACTGCAACAATGGCAAATTTTACACATCCTTTTCCAACGGGCATGGGTCCAATTAGGTCGACCCCCATTTTGCAAAGGGCCAAGGTGCTGTCACTGGGTTCAGTTCGCGCGGTGGAGTATTTATGATGGGGGCGAGGCGCTGGCACTTATCGCATCTTTTAACAAATTCAAGGGAATCTTGTCCTATTGCAGGCCAAAAGTATCATTGGCGTATGATCTTGTGGGCTAGTGAGAGTCCACCGGAATGCTTTCCACATATTCATTCGTGAACGTCTTGCAAGGTGTTCTGGGCTTCTTCTTCGTTCAAGCATCTTAACAGGGGCGTGGAATATCCCCATTTGTATAGTATATTATCAATGAGAGTGTACCTGACCGACCTTGTTCGGAGCTTTCTAGCCTCCGCAAAGTTTTCGGGGTATTTTCCGATTTTCAGGTAAGCGATGATCTCGTCCTGCCAAGTTGGTTGGGGTCTATCATCATAAGGACTACTTTATCCAACTCAGTGGACAGTAGAGATATTCTTCCTACATGAATGCTATCGAACTCTTCGATTCCCTCACTGGTGGCTAGGCGGGCCAATGCATCGGCGTGATTATTCTGAGATCGGGGAATTTGTTTAACTTGGGTAGTTTTGAACCTTTCAAGTTCTTTTTTCACAACTCGTAGGTAGTTGTCCATCCTGTCTTCTTTCGCCATATATACACCGTTGACCTGATTCACGACTAGTTGGGAGTCGCTGTGTAGGATTAGGTCGGAGATCCCTAGTCCTGAGGCCATCCTTGCTCCAGCAATAAGAGCTTCATACTCAGCCTCATTATTTGAGGCTTTGAAGTCAAATGGCAAGGCGTCACAGAACATGCGGTGATTGGGGCTGATTAATACGACGCTGGCTCCAGATCGTTCTCCGGTGGATGAATCGTCAACATAAAGTTTCCAAGGGGTTTCTTTCTGTTGTTCTTCAATTGGGGCGTTGCGGAACTCAGAGACAAAGTCGACGAGTGCCTGGCCGTTTATGGAGGAACGAGGCATGTATTTGATGTCGAATTGTCCGAGCTCCACTGTCCATTTTACCATCTGTCCAGAGGTGCCAGGCCTTTGTAGCGTTTGCCTCAATAGAGAGTTGGTCAGGACCTTAATGGGGTGTTCCAAGAAATATGGCCTCAGTTTTTGTGCTGCCATCAACAGGGTGAATGCCAGTTTTTCTATAGCTGAATATCTGAGCTCGGCTTCATGAAGCGCTTTGCTTACGTAATAAACTGGATGTTGAACGCCATTATCTTCTCGGGTTAGAACGGTACCAATGGCGTGCTTTGAAACAGATAAATATATCTTCAGGACCTCGCCTGCCTTAGGTTTTGAAAGCACCGGAGGTTGGGCTAGTTGTCTTTTTAGCTCGTTAAAGGCGTCCTGGCATTCTTTGGTCCATTCGAACTTTTTTCCACCTCGTAACGTGTTGAAGAAGAGTTTGCAATGGTCCGTAGATTTGGAGACAAACCGACTGAAGGCGGCAACCCTTCCGGTTAAGCTTTGTACTTCTCTAGGTTTGGTTGGAGGCTTCATTTGGATGATAGCTTGTATTTTTTCATGGTTTGCCTCGATTCCTTGGTTGTTTACAATGTAAGCTAGGAATCCTCCAGAACTGACCCTGAAAGCACATTTCCTCGGGTTCAACTTCATTCCATACTTCCTCAGTATATCAAATATTTCGATTAGGCATTGACAGTGGTCCTCGGCCTTGATGCTTTTGACCAGCATATCGTCAACATACACTTCCATTGTTTTTTCGATCTGTTGGGAAAACATGAAATTCACAAGTCGCTGGTAGGTGGCGCCAGCGTTTTTAAGACTGAATGACATTACTCTGTAGCAGTAAAGACCTCGATTAGTTACAAACGAGATATGTTCCTGATCCGAGCCGTACATCGGTATCTGGTTGTATCTGGAATACGCGTTCATAAAGCTGAGTAGCTCATGTCCGACGGTAGCATTGATCTATTCTCGACAATGACAAGCTGTCTTTGGGGCATGCTTTGTTGAGATCAATGAAATCTATGTATACCCTCCAATCTCCATTGTATTTTTTCACAAAGACCGGATTCGCGACCCACTTTGGGTATTTCGCTTCACGGAGGAAACCATTGTTCAATAGCTTTTGCACCTCTTTGTTGAGTGCTTCATATCTTTCAGGAATCAGAGGTCGTCATTTTTGCTGCTTTGGCTGAGCTAAAGGATCCACCTGTTAATTTGTGGCATGTAATAGTAGGATCTATTCCTCTCATGTCACTGTGATCCCAGGCAAAAACATCGAGATTCTCTTTTTGGAAAGCCACAATCTTGCTTCGGGTGGAGGGCTGCAACTCGCACCCGACTTTGAGTTCCTTTATTTGGTCCTTGGCACAGACTCAAACTCCTTCTAGTTCTTTTACGGGTTCTCCGCCTTCGATCCTGGTCCGTGAGTCTAAGGGAATGAGTTCGGATTCCCATATGTTTGCCATATGTACCCCCGGGGAGCTGCATTGATGGCTGGTACAAGTTTTCCATTGGCATCTTTCGACGAGCTCCCTATTTTCTTTGACTTTTCCCACACCATGGGGTGTGGGAAACTTGATAGAATAGTGATATAGGGAAACTGCTGCTCTCAAGCTAAAGAGTAGGGGCTGTCCCATCACAGCGTCATAAGGGGAGGGGGTGTCGAATACCACGAACTCGGAGTACATCTTCAACTGCTGAGGTGCTGATCCAGACTCAAATTTGAGTTTGATTGATCCTTTGGCAGAAGTCAAGGCTCCGCTTAATCCTAGGACCATATTTGGGTATGGTTGGAGAAAGTGAGCAGGGATACCCATCTATTTAAGGGTGTGGCTAAAGAGGATGTTCAAAGAGCTTCCTGTATCCACCAAGACTTTGGGGATGGTTACCCCGGCTACAGGCAACGAGATTACCATAACTCCGTGGTAAAGGTGTGGGTCTGCCTCCTTCTCGTCAAAAGATAGTTGCTCGTCTGTGGCTTTTCTGAGATTCTTTTCCGTTATGCCGATCTCCGAGAGATCTGCAACGATTGGTCTCTTTGGTCTGGCTTCCTCGACTTGTGTGTTCGTCCTACTCCTCAGCATATTGACTTGTGGCCTTGGCAGGTCGACGTTGCAGTAGCTTGATCCCCTTGGATAATTCCAGTCCCGTAAGGGGTGGGAAATTTCACGTAATAATAATAAATTGATGTGGCAGCCTTTAGTTCGTGCAAAATGGGCATCCCAATATTACATTGTAGTTGGACGGTAAATCAGCCACCACAAAATCCGCTAAGATTTTTCTTTGGTGAGGAGCTTCGCCCAGCTCCACACTAAGGACTGACCTAGGGCTTTGATAGGATCCCCAGAAAATCCCTGTAGCTTCCTTGGATATGGTTGGAGGTAGCGGACTGATATTTCAAATTGCCTCAAGGTTCGTGAGTACAGTATGTTGATCAAACTTCCATTGTCCACTAGAATGCGGTGGACTTTTACTCCGGCGACCATCATTGTGAGCACCAGGGCGTCACTCTGGTCTTGGAGGATTCCTTCAGTATCCTCTTCCATAAACCAGAACGATTCAGGCTCAATGCCGATCCTAGGGATTTGATACCAATAGTTCGGCATGATTTTTACACTTCGGGCTTGCTTTCGCCTGGCCCTTCTGGATCCTTCAATATATTGATTTCCACCCACCATCATTTTGATTTTGGCATGTAGAGGTGGGTTACGGTTAGGGATCGCCTGTTGGGCTCATGTGGGGCCTCCCTGTAGCTATGGCTGCTGCATCGCAGGTCGATCTGCTTCTTTTGGCTTGGCAACAAACTCCTATAACCGGCCTCATCGAATTAAGGATTCAACTTCCTCTTTCAAGTCTCGACAATTATCAGTATCATGGCTCACCGTCCTGTGGTATCGGCAGTATCGTCCTTGGCGTTGTGCGACCTGTCCGTCCTTTAGGACGATAGGTCTGCGAAATGCTTCTTTTGTATTAGCTTGCGTGAATACCTCTTCCAAGGAGGCTTTGAGTGGGTGGTACTCCCGGAACTTGTATGGCTGAGCCCTGGGACGTTCTCTTTCTCTCCTGTCCTTCTTTCTTTTTGGTTGAGGACTGCGGCTTCGTTTTTTTTCTTTCACCACATCACTGAGGTCAATTTCGCGTCTTGCTTCCTCTTGGTCAGAGGTTGTTTCTTCAGCGCTTATGTATTTCTCAGCTCGATTCAGGAACTCGTGATAAGTCCTTGGACCGTCCTCTTGGACTGACCACCAGAATCTCGTTTTGGGTCTTAGTCCTGCTAATACAGCCATGAGTGCCACATCGTCAGATATTTTTTCCACTTCCATTGATTGCTTGCTGAACCTACTCAGATAGCTTTTGAGGTATTCACTTCTTCCCTGCTTAATGCTCACTAGACGTTCTTTGGGTGTAATCCTAGCCTTGAAGCCCATAAACTGGGCTAAGAATACCATGGCTAGGTCATTCCAATCTTTTACTGACCTTTCGTGTAGTCTCGTAAACCATCTTTGGGCTTTGTCTCCTAAAGTCAGGGAGAATGCCCATCACATGATTGCATTGCTTGCCTCTTGTAGTTCCATCCACGAGGTGTATTTGTCAAGGTGACTGAGGGGGTCACTATCCCCTTCATATGCGGCGATCAGGGGAATTTTCAATTTTTCAGGCAGTGGTTCTATAAGGACATCCTCGGTGAAGGGGGAATGTCGTTTGGTTGGGTAACCTTCCGTGCCACCTTTGTTTTTAGCCTCCAGTTCGGCGATGCATTTTTTTAGCGCTCTTAGTTCGGGTTCTGTTTGTTCCAAAGGACGTTTCAAGTCGATTTGTCCTTGCGTAGGGGTCAGCGAGTGATGGGTCCCCAATCTGTCGAACACACTTGCAGTCCTTCTCATCTCAGGTTCCTTGCTTTTGACCTCATTGGTTTGGCTTCTTGATGAATCTCCTCTTGAAAAGTTGAGAGTCCTTCTAGTGGGGGAACGCTTTACCTTTGTCCTTACAGGGAAATCCACCTCGATATCTAGTGGGGACGAATGGGCTTGGCTCTGTTCCAGTCGTCCCATTGTATTTGTCAATTTTTCTAGGGCTTCCCTCATTGCGATCATTTGAGGGTCCTGCCGTTGTAGAGAACTCAATGGTATATTCGTTTCATGGGGTTGGGTGTGAGATGGATTTTTGGAACTTGAGCTATGACTCATGGCTCTTGAATTTTTTTTTTTTTTATGGAGCAAATGAAACTATTTTTCACAATTAGGGGCCCTCCTTCTAGCGCCAAACTGTTATGTCAAAATTAGCAAGGATAATTTTAAACCAACTTTAAGAAAAAAAAAGGCAATTTGTCCTCAGAAAAGATCACAAAGATGTCATTTTTGTGCGATTGTGCCATAAGTCATTATATGAATTTTATCTGCCTTTACAAGGATTCTATTCAACTATTTATACATAGTTTCAGTCGAAATTACATCAAATTAATCAAATCAGCAATAGTTCCGAGCTCGAAACTCGGGTCGCCAAATTCTCCTATGATTGGTCAATGAGGCCAGTGGTCATGTGTTAATATATTACCTAGGTAATGATGACCTGTAAGAGGCTGGAGTTCGAGGACTTGGAATTGGTTGTTCCGGACGGCGATGATATCACCTGTGGCAAGTGTCTCTGATTGATAGGGTGATGTGACATGGGGTAATCATGATATTTTTCTAAGATAACAGCGGGTAACTCCGACCTGGGAGTATGGGCCGAACTTACGTTTAATTGAGGTGGGGTTAGCGAACTGTTTTTACCAGATCGGAGTTCGGATGTCAGCAAACCAAATTATTTTATTTTTTCTAAATCGAGTTTCAATTCGATTTCTCCAAAACGGTAGAAGTGGCATTACGATATAGTAACAGATTTGGATAAAATTTAAGTCAATTTGATTAAATTGGCTTTAAACTAAGAACTAGAAATGGAAAATTCATATTTTTGGGTTTGAGCTAAATTAACTAGTTAGCAAATTTATTTAAAAAATAAAATAATTTTATTTATTTAAAATAAATAATTTTAAAAATTAGGGAGATTCGGTTAAGAACCCAACCGAACCCATTGGTTCTCAATTCAGATACTCATTCGGATATTTAAAAAGAACCGATTGGTTCAAATCAGTTCGGGAGTCTTGTCCAGCTCAAAAGAGAAACTAACATTGTCTTGCTTGGAGACATGCATAGAAAAATGAAAACTACAAACAACAACAAAATAAGACGTTTGCAACTTGAAAAGCTTATGGATAGGGTTGGACAAAAGTCCCGAACCGAATCGAGCGATTCTTCTTAACTTAAATATCCAAACGTGTATCTGAAATGAAAATCCACAGCTTCGGTTCGATTCGATTCTCGATTTTAGATCAAAATTCGAAAAACTAAATCTCCCTAATTTTTTAATTAATTTATTTTAAATAAACCAAATTATTTTATTTTTTCTAAATAAATTTGCTAATTAATTAATTTATAGCTCAAACCCAAAAATATTATTTTCTTATTTTTAATTTTCAGTTCAAAGTCAACTTAATCAAATTGATCTAAGTTTTATCTAAGTCTGTTACTCTACTGTAGTAATATTTCTATTGTTCTGGAAAAATCGAATTGAAGTTCGACAACGCCTCTCTAAACTATTGTGAGCTCGCTAACTTTCTTTTCCTATGATTTTAACAATCAAATCTATGAGAACTCAGCAAAGAGTGGCGTAAGAAGACATATAAAATTGGATTACGTTATTTTGTTAGAATTAAGATTGAACATATCATTAGTTGAATTAATGTAGCTTTGTAAATATCAAAAAATTAAATTATAATACGGAACCTGATAACCGAATGGCACTGAACCTGAACAGTTCCATAATTAAATACGGTTCCACTTATTAAATACTCGAAAATTTAGGGTCTAGTTCAGTTTTCGTTAGGACTGGACCGGACCATGTCCAACCCTACTTCTGGGAGATAAAACAACTTGGGTACGCACGAGAGGAATAGGCAGTACAACTGTAACGTTACAATATTGCAACAAAGGTGTTGCCAATACATGCTTTCCATTTAGGTCTATTCCTCGTCGATGGATATTTGGAAATATATAGGCTTTTATTTCTAAGAGGATGGGTGGCAATTGCTACACAAAATAAGGAGTAAGCATGACAGCTATTACTTGCCAGTCCAATCGTGTCTAAAGCATTTCTCAGGTTCTTATCAATCCCTTTGTATTTAGCATCTTTCCAATCTTTTGCAAGCTTCCAGGCTACTATTAATTTTGTATTAATATACTGTTGTATTAAACTTAGTCATATGTCATCTGGAGTTGATGACAACATTCGTATTTACATGTTTGTATTTAACTTTAAGCGCATTGACTAGATAATGCTAGCAATGGTGTCCTTGCAAATAGTTTGTTCTGTTCATCCATAAAGTTCTTTTTTATTTTTGTTCTCTTTTTCCTGGGTACGTCATTTCTAACTAGTAAGTTTGAATGGTCTTTGAAGTCTGTAGTTATGGATGCCAAATATTGGGCAATCTTCTCCCTAGCCTACCCAGATTTTACCATGAAATGGTCAATATGCTATAACTCAAACTCTCCTTGGATTGCCACCACCAAAACAAGATGCATCTGAATTTGTAGTCCCATGCATAGGAAAATCAAGTCTCTTCTGCCCATCCTAACCAGTATTTAGTACTCCTACAATTTTTTACACAAGCTCAAATTCATGCATCCACAGCTAGCCCGAAAAGGAAAAAGCCAAGTCCCACTGCAGGCTAATTTCAACACGGTCTAAAATTTCTGTTTTCCCTCTATGCATTCATAGG